TGCAACCCAAAACCCACTTATGCATCGTCGAGTGCTGGGTGGGCGTGGCCCATTGGGTGGGCATGGCTGCGATGGTAACAGCAGACTGGGTGGGACTAAAAAGTTCAATCAATCAATTCCAACTTTGCAAGATCTTTTTTTTTCCCCACAAGAAGTTGAAATTGACTGATTGAACCTTTTTTTTTTTTTTTGCACATGGCGGCGGAGGCCTAAAGCGAAAAGGTTTTATAAAACCCAGCTGAAGGCCTAGGACTGGGGCGACGGTGCGCGTGCCCACAGAGAAGGCTCTGAGTGCCGCCTCTGGCGCCCGTGCCATAGGTTCGCCACCACTGGTATATTGGTTACAAAGTAGTTTCCAGTTTAGAAATACTACCTTGCCTAAAATAGTGTGAATGTGTCTGGGGTAAAACTTGGCTTGGATGAGTCTGTGGTAGTTTGGTCAAAATATTTCAAAGTTGACCAGTTCAACCACTGTCATTAACAGGAAATGTTGCATGTGGCATGGATATGATTAAGGCTGGAAACCAAATCTGCATCTACTCTGTGTTATTCAAAATGTGACATGAAATCCTTGATTAGCTAAAGCTTTGTTGGGCAGCAGAGGTCAGTGGGTCTAATCTGGTGATGACCATGGCATACAGAATATGAGCTTGGGAATTTCTGTTTTTCATCATTCAAGTGTCTTGATTATGAAGGAGATACCTATGCCTTGCCTTTCTATTGCTTTCTTATAATTAAACAGTGTAAAAACTCCATGATATCCATGTGCTTCTTGACAGTTCACCCATACAGAAAGAGGGGTATTTTAAAAATTGTGATTTAAAAGAGGACATCCCGGAACTGGTGCATGGAGTTATAAGAAACTTTAGTTAGTCCTCTTTGAATGAGGCAGTCACCGGGACCAGAAATTTAGTCTTCCAAACTTTTGGACTTGTGCTTGGAGCCCATCCTCAGGGAACCTCTCTATGTGCATATGAGAGACACTTATATCTTTGTTTAGGAGCAGAAATTCCAGTTTCCTTTATATGTAGTATTCAGTCATTTATCTCCTTATAATTTTGGAAACATAGCTTGATCTGTGCTTGAAACAGCAGACAGCCAGTTCCTTTGTTGCATCATCTCTGGCAATTTGTTGAGTCGTGTATTTCATTGATATTCAGAATTGAAAACCTTGCAAAGAAAAAGAAAGGGACACCTCAGATATTTGATACAGGTGTCCAATGAGTTGATTTTGAGCATATGCTTGGTTCTAAATTTGCATGTTCTAAAATTTGTCTGGGTTCCACATTTTCAGTATGATTAGCTATCTGGCAAGCTGCTGACAGATGGCATCCAAAAGATGGTGACCATTTGACCTCTCTTCACGTATGGGGATTCTGAAGTTCATCTCATTCCACTGTAAAGGCCAAGGATATAACATTTCCTAGTATTTTTGGTCAAGAAAGGTGCATTCAAGATACAGTGCTCAGGGAGAGCTTTGTAGAAAAGTAATATCTAGGAGAACTTTTTTTTAAGACAGTTCATATGTTATATACTGCAAATTTGCTAGGTTAAGGTTGGAAATGTATGATTTGGGAAATATATTCTATCATTCCAGGTTAAGTACTTTTCCCTTTTTCATATTGAAATACGCCTGCTTGCAACCAAGCATGATTAATCAAACCTTCAACATCAGCTGAATGCTACAGTGTGACTTGCCTGAACAAAAATGCTGTAACTCTTAGATTCAGTGTGGTTTTATCACATGATGCAGAGCCTGGTCCAAGACGCTGTTGTTTGTCAGAGATAAAATGCAATTCTAGTTCATGGGTTCCTAGTGAAATCATATGATAGCTATTCACATGTTTTTAGCTATTGCATGCCAAAAAAACTGAAGCCAGTAGCAATTCTAACAGTGCACGAGTTCAGCTTTGTCCTTTTAATCATCAGCCTGTCATAATAAGAGGTTGTTCTTGGGAGAAGTAGTGCAATCTTAAGTTCCAGCTCTGGGGAAAGAAAAAAAAAAAAGGACTGGCCTTGAATCAGCTGGGTCTGCATTTCTGAAACTATAGGACTAAATTCCCCAGTGGTGTTTAGCTTTGCCTCCAATTAAAGAATGAGAAAAGTGTTGTAAGAAGATAGCCCTGAAAGTGGTAGAAATTAGAAGGGTGAATTTTGAATAATGGCATATGTTTCCTTTATAAAACCAGTGTCTGTTTCTCTCTGTAATAATACTATAGTTCAGGGCTCTAAACAGCTGGCCTTGGTAATTTCCAGTTCTCAACTGAATTTGACAGCAGAAAGGCTGAAAAGGCTTCTTCCTGATCTTCTCTGATACAGATGTTCAGATTGTTCCACCCGTGTTTCAGTAACAACTTCTTGGGGAACTAAAATCCATACATTTAAAAAAAATACATATTGATTTATTCCCTTCCACCCCAATAAAGTTTTCCTTTGCAAATGTTATTATCAGGAGAACAATCTGTGATTAATAACTGCACTTCCACTGTTTTAAATACAGTCCAAATATTTGTGAATCGTTTTAATTGAAGACTGTTTAAAAAAAAATCAGCCTCTGATCCCAAACTTTGTGGCAATGTCAGATCTCTCAAGAATAAAAGCTCATTTTTTTAAATGTCTGGTTAGGAAAAATGTCTGTTTCTATATAGCTTCTCCATTTCAAGGAATAGGGAAGCCTGCATATCATCTTTCTTGCTGGTATCATTCACTGTCTTAAAAACCGCTGACTTGAATTTAGGAACAAGCTGAGATACTTGCTGGTTGAAAAGAAAGACAATATGGTAGTTAAATTTCACTTCAGCACCTGCAGTGGGACATCCCACTGAGACTGACTTGTGGGGCTGAATGACAACCTGTAGTTCTTCATTGCTACTTTCTGCCTGTTCAGCATCTGTTTGCTTAATGCTGGAGCTGTTTCCACCAAAAGCTAAGGATTCATTGACAGCACACAGGTAGTCCATATTTAGTGACCATAGTTGGCCTTGCTTTGCTTAACAAGGCCAGTTGGCCTTGTTAAGGAAAGCAGTCACTAAGTGAAACCACAACTTTGCTTTTGATCTTACTTCAGCTTTCTTTGCTTTACAGACCTGTGAAGTCATAAATGCGAAGATTGGTCATAAATAGCTAAATGAGAACTACCTGTAGATAGAGTTTGCATTATATTATGGGATCTTTGGTTTGCCTCCCCATCTCTTAAACCGGGCTTATTAACTTAATTGGAGGGCTAAGATGCTTGTGTGGCTTTGAATGTTAAGTTGGGGAATGCATTCAAAAAGATCAGGATAAAATAATCAACACTGAATTTGGTACAATGTGATTATTTCCTGTGTTTAAGCATCATTGCTCTTCTTTCATTTTTAAAAATTACAATTTGGTGGCGAAGCTCTTGGACAAGACAGTGAATATTTGGGGGAATGGGGATAGGTTCCACCTTTAAATTATAACAGAATACACAGAGAAAATTCACTTGGTGGCTATAATTGTTGTTATTATAAAAAAAGCCATTTTATGCCAGAGACAAATGGGAAGATAACTGTGACATCAACTTGAAAAGACATGCTTGCAAATTGCTCTTGTCTGCCATATTTGACGTCAGTGTAATGGCAGCACTGAATTATGTTTGTAGACTGTATTTAAAATAAATAGATCAAAAAGTGTCATTGAGTACAGTATCTATGAGATCAGATAGAACAGGATTTCCCAAACTGGAAGATGTACCTCTCTTGGGGAAGTGTAGACAGATTCAAGGGAAGAATGTTTTAGTTATACTGTTGCAATAAAACCACTTTGTCAAAGTTTTGTTGGATTGTTTTTGTTGTTCAGTTTTATTTATTTTGGTGTTTGAATTTTTAGGAAAGGTGTGTACATTAGGATTACAGTAAAAAGAGGTGTGATGCCAAAAGTTTAGGAACTCATGATATAGAATGAATTAATATTGTTTTTCCTTTAAGGTAGTCTCCTTAGTCTATTTTTAAAACCAGAAAATGCCAGAATGCATACAGTACATTTGATTTAATTTAGAAGATGTAGTTTGGAATGTACTGGAGCACAAATTCAATAGCTATTGGCAATTCATTTAAATTAGATGTGTATGTTTTAAAGACATCCTGGGAAAAGATGTAGCTGTTTTAATGAGTTCCAATAGATACTAAATTTGTCTTCCTGTACATATTCAAAACTGAATTTGAGGTATTCCCTCAGATGTAATGTGTTACTTTCAAATAGTGTTCCAATAATAAAATAATAGAGAAAAATCACAAATACAAAACCTGCAAATAGAGGTAGAATAACTATAGCAAATGAAAGCAAAAATAATATGAATAGTAATAGGCACTTTGGGTGCAATCCAACATTTGTAACACCACTTGAATGCAATCAGGATTGACAAAATGAATATCAGTCAATTGCAAAAAGCAGCTTTATTTGCAACAGGTTACATCCTGCAACAATACCTTTAACACCTTCAAACAACATCTGGCTGACTGTGTGATGAACCATAATAATTTATTAAACTTGTATGTTGCCTGACTCTCAATGACTTTGAGTGGCTCACAGCAATTAAAAAGTTACAATAAATAAATAAAAGATAAAAATAAAACATAGCAAGTGCAATGAAGCAAAGATCTCATTGTTCCTTGCCAAACACCAGGGTGAAAAGTCAGGTCATTCTTAATTAAAGAAGTCATTTAAAATTATTTTAAATAACAGCATAATGGAGGCTATCTGGGTCTTGGGAGGAACCTTCTTCCAGAGGGCAGGCACTGCTAGAGAGAAGATGCATTTCTGGTGTCCCCGTAGAAGAATCATATCATGGTAAACAAGTAAAACCTACTGAATGCTCATCTTAGTTAATGATCTCCTCTNATTTCTTTAACATTGAAATGCTTTTGTTAATATGAAATTTCCTGGTTATCACTGTATGTGGGAGGAATTCCTTAAATTAAACTATGGTCTGGAGATTGCTAAGTATAATGTGGCAATTGCATCTTTTTCTCCATCAGAAGCTCTGCAGTGATGCACCAGTGAAAGTCTTTGGAAAATGTTGCCAGCTCAAGCCTGGAGGAGATAGTTCATCTTCTTTGGACAGTTCAATCAATTCCTCCTCTTCTTCTACTGAAACAAAAGAACACTGTCCAAAATTTCAGGTGAGACTCCTTTAAACTGTGCTAAAAGCATCACTTGTTAGAAGTGGCTGCTGGGGCAGAGAGTTCCAAGCCAAGAAGAACTTTTTTGGTGATTGTCCAATAGAACAGATGGTTGATTATCATCTGAGTCTGCAATAAGACAATTACTGTAGAATGGATGTTCTCCAGTGAAGTGAACATTAATTATGAAGAATAACAGCTAGTGGACAATCAGTTCTACAGCCAATTTCACAGTCTACGTTTACCTGGAAATGAGGCTTGTGGAAATAAATTTAGCTTTTTTAAAATATGCATACCCTAAAACTTTATTGTGGAAAGGAGCACGGTGGCTCAAGGGGTTAGGATGCTAGCTTGACAAGCAGCCTGCTCATCTTTGAGACCTGAGTGCTGCCGTGGGACAGGTGAGCTCCTGTCCTTCGCTCCAGCTTCTGCTGGGGACATGAGGAGTCCCCAACTGGGTGTTCCCTGGGCAATGTTGATGTCAATGGCTAATACTTTCAACCCGGAAGCACCTCAGTGCCTCCGACATGAGTGCGATGTGATTGTGGAAAGCCTGAGATGTGGGGATATTAAATTTGTACACGTATTCCTTTTCTTCTTGAATTCTACCAGAATAGGAAAGACCAGGAATGCACTAAAAGAATAAAGAGATAACAAGGGCTTGTAACCTGTATTTTTAGATTTTTAGAGCCAATCACCCCTAATGTTGATGCCTACAAAGACCTGCTTCGTCTGTCAATTTTTAATCAGAATCGTGCTACGTGCATAAATATTCCATTTAATTTCATGTCGTCCTTACCAGTGTAAAAGTCTTCACATTCTCACAGATTTTTATTTATAATTTTAATGATAAATATTGATTTATAAAGTTATATCAGAATTCTGGGTAAAAATACATCAAAATACAAAAACAGTTATTTGCCAATTTCTATTTCAGTTCTGAAATATCTATATTGCTTTGACCACATTCATTTTCCTTCACCTGGTGCTGAACAAATATGTAATAATAATAATAATGATGATGATGATGATGATGATGATGATGATGGAAGGGACCTTGGAGGTCATCTAGTCCAACCCCCTACTCAGGAAACCCTATACCATTTCAGACAAATGGCTGTCCAGTCTCTTCTTTAAAACTTCCAATGTTGAGCCATGATGCCTAGTTGGTCAGATATAATGGGAACTCTAGCCCAACATTCTGCACATTAGCCTCTATTCGTGACTCTTTGCCCTCACTTAGTGTCAGGGGTCTCTGGTTTTCTTATTTTAAATATTTGGAAAGGCTTGTACAATAGGGTTCATTAGATGGAAAGTAGTTTGGAAATGTTAAATGATAGATGTTTGCTTGCTGTCACTCTAAAAGGATTATGAACTGGCATTCATTGAACCTGAGTTACACTTTAAGAGAGGTTTTGGCTACTAGTGCAGCCAGTCATCTGACTGATGTATTTCTGTCATCTCACCTTGTGCTGAGAGAAGTGTTTTCTATTAAGCCTTCCTAAAATAGAATTGAGCCTTTCTATTCTTTACAGTGGAGTAGTTCTCTGCTTAAAACAGCCTGATCCTAACATAGCACATTCTGGACACATTCTGCAGGACTTCTTGACTGATACCAGTGGACCTGATCTCTTAGTAAAATTTTGCTAATGAAATGTTAGCCTCCCCATGTCATCATTTACACCTTGTCTTTCCGTCTCAAATACACAATGTCTTTCTTTCTATTGCGCTAGGGCAGGTGTAGGCAACCTTGGCTCTTTTATGACTCATGGACTTCAGCTCCCAGAATTCCTGAGCCAGCATGGCTCAGCTTGGAAACCTCTCCCTTTCCCCTCAGCATAGCTGGCTCAGGAATTCTGGGAGTTGAAGTCTTCGAGTCATAAAAGAGCCAAGGTTGCCTACCTCTGTGCTAGGGAAATTGAAAATTGTAGGTTTTTTTATTTTTTAAAAAAATCTCTTTGTCAAGGACAAATGTATGGGTTGGTGAAGAAAGAGCAGGGATGATGTTGAATTCTGTTCTTAGAATAGAGAATAAGAATAATGTTCTGCAGCCTGTTGTATCTCATTTAACTTCCATGTCAGATATATATATATATATATATTTTGGAGGAATTCTGACTCAGTCAATGCTTTCTGCCGAGTGGTCCCATATCAGTGAATGTGCTGTATCCAGTATTAAAGAGGCAGACCAAATACGTACCTTAAGAGGTGCAGAGGGAGTAGTTAATGTAAATATAAGGAACTGCCTGTAAATGACTAACACAATAGAATTTGATTTTCTCATAAGTAAATATGTAAAGTATTTGCTAAGTTAATTTGTAAAATGTAGAATGCACATAGGGTTTTTAGCTGTCAAAAGCTGAAGCACATACTTTACATGTTATTAAATGACAGGAAGATTGTTTCAATCTACAGGCAAAACTTTTTCCTACTGTTGTCTACCAGCCACTGATCTTCAGGGATCTAGTGTCTCAGGAATCAGAGATTCCAACAGCCATCATAGCTAGTCATTGTTGATAGTAGAATTAGTATCTATGTAGCAGAATAAATGTCATAAATAAAACCTCTCTTATCCCAGCCCAGCTTATTCTATGTTCTATTACTGGGGTGTGGGTGTGTGTGTGTCGTTTTTTTTTCATTCCACAATGAAAAGACGAGGTAATAGACAATGTGTTTTCTCATGATCTATACCTATACTATGATGGTAAGATGTGTGAAAGAACAACATGGATGGATTGATAATAGGTCTTTTTTCACATGTACACAAATAGGGCATTTCTCACTGTATAGAACAGTCATGGGATGAACCAATGGCAAAGATATTAATATGTAGTAGCCAATATAAGTTATTATAAATTTATTCATTTATTTTTTGTCTTTCATAGAAAAATAGCTAAAATCTGTCTTGCAGGAGACTAAAATATAGGTGTTTATTGCTACTTTTGTGATCATTAGTATAACAGCAAGTTCAAGTTTTGTAAATGTCTACATGTTTTATTTGCATACTGTGCAAATTATGTTTCTAATCTGTCTGGACAGCATTGTCAGTTAAATGTACGAATTATATACTTTTTTTAAAAAAATTACCTGTAAAGAAAGTTTCACACAACTTTGAAATTGGCAAAATTGGGTTAACTGGAAAATTTTAACTGTCCATGAGATCATCTGAAACTCATAATCTCATAATGCATTTCTAGAACAGATGAAGTGCACCATGGGATACATAGCTTCTATAAGAAAGGTTTTATAGTAATCCATGTAAATTCACTTTTTTCAATCATCTGGGTTTTCTTCCTGAAAGGAGAAAAATCTAGCAAGTTTTCTTGCTTGATGCCTAAGGATTTATTATTTGGGGATTATTTTTTGGTTCTGGTATTTTTTTTTCGGAAAATCTTTTTATAGCTTAAATATTTTCTTCAAGCTTCTAATTCTAGTAATGGCTGTTGTCTTAAATAATGTATTAAAAACTTCACATGCATTTATACAGAATATCCAAATACAAGCTTATTTTGTTTTACATTTTGTCAATCCATCTTATTAAATTTGACTTTTCAATTTGTGTAAATGGCAGTTTTGATTGTAATTGACAGAAATAACTATTATAGTCAGGATGGAAAAATAAGCTAGAATCTTGTTTACCCTTAAAATATTTTTCTTTCCTACCAGGCAACTTGTTAGTGTAGAAGCATTTCTCCCATTATGGTACAAAATGCCAGGATAATACCTACAGGATAATCAAAGAATATATTATTCTGTAGTGTGACATATGTGATTACTGCCTGACAATTTTAAGTGCTTTGACACCAGGTATGAAAAGTGTGTGAAATTCTAAGCCCTTGAGTGCAGAAGCTGCTGCATTCATGTTAAAAGCAGATACAATATAGTGAACTAAGCCATTCAATAGAGGTTGTGCATTCTGTATTGCTTGTTTGAATCCACAGGCAGAAATATCTATGGGCCAATGGGCTATTACGTTACCCTGGGTTTGTTATTTTTCTCACAGGATTTAGTTCCAATATGCACCTCTCCCATCAAATCAAATTACATCCTTTAAGACAGAATGGCCAAATACCAAGAGAGTATCAAAGTCCGTGTGCCTGGAGTATTTGCTCAAGATAAAAAGCGAGCAGGAAAACTGACAGCAGATCAGGTTTTTGAGGCACATGATGTCCTCCAAGGCAAGCCATAAGATAGGGGTGAACAATTTGTTACTCCGGGGCTTCATACAGCATCATAAGTTCCCTCTGGTCAAATGTCAGGAGCTTCTCTTCCTACTATATTGAAGTGCTAAGTCTGAAAGTTGCAGTGTAAGCCCTTAGTGCAAAACGAAAGAAAGGGAAAGAAAGAAAGAAAAAACCTGAAAACAAACCCCTGCTCACATGTTCAAACATTGAATAAAATCTTGGCCCTGCCACATGTGTGATGTTATCCTATTCATTTTACATCACATATGTTGGAGCCCTTGGCATCCACACCTGCTATAAAATCACAACACTTAATGTGTGGAGAGCAGCAGCAGGTGCAGAAGGTTTTGATTCTGCCCAAAGATTATTTTCAGCATGAGCAACAACTGCCATCTACAGCAACTTTTAGATCGTTGACTCTAAAGAGCCAACGTGAACCTGCATAAACATCTTGGTACCTGAGGATGGGGTTTACACGTGTGTTACACATGTAACACTCGTCTTTTGTTGAACGTATTTATAGTTGTGACATTCCTCCATTTTCCATGCCTTACCTCAGAGGTAGGCAACCTTGGCTCTTTTATGACTCGTGGACTTCAACTCCCAGAATTCCTGGCTCAGGAATTCTGGGAGTTGAAGTCCACGAGTCATAAAAGAGCCAAGGTTGCCTACCCCTGCCCTACCTGAAGAATGTTTTTAAAATGATCACCATGCAACATAATTATTAGCAGTGTCTTTTTTCAGGGCTCTCGATGTACTTCAGATGCCAACATGCTTGGGGAGATGATGTTTGGTTCTGTGGCTATGAGCTACAAGGGCTCAACTTTAAAAATCCACCAGATCCGGTAAAGATTCTTTTTTTCTTACATATACTTTTCCTCTCGGACTTCTTCCCAGAAGTTAGAATCTTATTTCACCTTGCAACCAGACTTCTGGAATAATATTAATTCTCGTAGTATGAAAATAATATAGAAATGACAGTGTAGGGAGAGGAAATGTGATCTCTCTGGGAGGAGTTCCCATACACCCTCCCTAATGAAGCATATTTTCTGTCCTTTATCAGGCATTTATGGTAAATTCAACAGCTGTGTGTATTGGGCTGTTTACAGTGTGCCAGTAGTGGGACAGAGATGGACAGTCCAATGGGCATTATGTTCCAGAGGTATTTTTTAGGCCACAAACCCAAATTCATTGTGATTACTGAAAATTGACAACACATTTTGATGCTATGGGAAAGATGAGGCGGGGAAATAAGAAATATGGAATGTAAATCCTAAATAAGCACGTAATTATTTAAAAGGGGCCTAAACCTTCCAAAATTCTTCCTAAGATCCTCCCAGGTGGCCCTATCCATTTGGTAGCCTTCATTCCCTTAATGAAATCAAAGCCCTCAGTCACCTCTGCTGTAGTCAAGTATTTCTTTCCAGATGTTTAATTTTATATTGTTGAATATTTGCAGAATACTTTTAATTATGTCGTTTTGATATGCTTATCCCCAGCTACTGGTAGTTACTTTATGTGCTTCTCATCTGTATTCATTTAAAGCCAGAGTCCCACAGTTCACAAATAGGCATGCTGTTCCATTATTACCCTAGTTGTCCTTCAGTGTGGAAAAACATGGAATGTATAATTTTTACAGAAAAAATAATGCTGCCATCTGTTAAGCTCATTCACAGGGTGGGTTGTGTCTACAGAAGCTAAGTTTGATTCTGATGGGATTTAAGAACAATAGTAGATCCATATATTTGGGAAATTGGATCCTGCAATAATTTTATAAAATAAAATTGAACTTTATAATGAGCTTTCTGGAAACAAGATTCTTAGAAAAGTATTATCACATGAATGTTTCTTAAAATTCAGGGCAGGATTGTTAGCTTATGGTATTTAGGATTGCTTTTATATGCTTATATGTTTCATGCCTAAATTTGAGATATGTTTATAATGATTAGTTGACATAGTGAAAAAGCAAATTAATCTTATTTTAATATAATGAAATAATTTTCCCCTCTAGCCCACTATTTTTGGGGAATGCTTTGGAATATTTATTTAGTAAAGAATTTAGTAGAATTTAGTACCTTAAAACAGTGTTTCCCAACTTCAGCAACTTTTAAGAGGTGTGGACTTCAACTCCCAGAATCCCCCAGCTCGTATGCCTGCTGGGGAATTCTGGGAGTTGAAGTCCACACTTCTTAAAAGTTGCTGAAGTTGAGAAGCACATCTTTAGTGAGACTATGACTCTAGTGCTTTGATGAATAGGGATCGCTGTCTGATGAGGACACCTTTTCATTCCTATTCTCTTGGCTTCACAGCTCTCCTCCACAGCTTATGCTGAGCAAAGTTTTTACAGCTCGAACAGGAAGCAGTATTTATGGAAGTTTAAACACGTGAGTACATTAGAAAGAGCTTGTGATCATTGGGAAGTGACAGACTGGTGCTTATGGTTTCTTCAGGAGAATAGATTGTCTCTTGCTAGTTCCTTTTTTCTCTAAGGATTCCTCTTTCATTCTCAGAAGACATAAGGGTGCAGGTGGGGGAAAGGGGCAAGGAAAGTAAGACACAACTAATAACCAAAGATAAACGTCCTGGCACAAGATTGTTTTCTTTCTTTCTTTTTTCCTGTAGGCTTCAAGACAGTCTTGAGTTTATTAATCAAGATAATAATACTTTGAAGCCAGATCATACCACAATTATGAATGGACTGCTTATGAACATAGGTAATTTTCTTATTTGCAAGTTAAGACCTTAATCTGACCCATACTAAAATATCTTTTTTTAAAAAAAATGCTTTGGATTTGGGGCTAAGGCAGCCATTACTCTCAGTTCATACACAGCTCATGACATTTGAAAATCGGAAAGGTTTACTGCTTTGTGACTGTTTGGAAGAAGTTGATGAAGTTCGTTGAAATCCATTTATGGTGAGAATAGCCAGTCTAATATAAACCAGAAAATCTTCCCCTCATTAGAATTATATTCTATTTAGATAAAACTATGCTTTTTAATATTTATACATGTGCATGTCAACAAAATGCTGTCTTATGTTTATTATAATGTGAATATGTAAAGAATGTGATATGTGAGGTATAGTTCATAGTTCCAGTTGGTTTGTTCAGTTGTTTATTTTAAATACTTCACTTTTCACTCTGCATTTCAGAGCAATCACAATATAAAAATAATATCTTAAAAATATTAAATCTGGTAATAAATAAAAATGCCTGGCAAGTGAATTTGCACCTGACCGTAAAATATTGTAATACAGACAAGTGTCTTTAGAACTCCATAGATCAGGGGTGTCAAACTCAATTTCATTGAGGGCCACATCAGCATTACGGTTTCCCTCGGAAGGCTGGGTGGGTGCGGCCTACTGGGTGGGTGTGGATGGAGTGGGTGTGGCCTACTGGGTGGGCGTGGCCAGCTCTACATCGTTTGCATCAAGGGTGCCTGTGGGGGCCTGGGCAGAAGTGGGACAGATCTGAGGATCTCTGGCAGAAGGGGGTGGGACCAGGGCAAGTGCTAAGGCATGGTCCCCTGGAGGAGCCTCACTGTTCCTCTCAGGCCATGTGGGGGGGGGGGCTGGATGGTGGTGCAGGCTGCCCGGAGCCCTGGGCAGCAGAGGTCAAACACCCAGCCTGACCCTCGAGCATCCATGGCACCAAGCCCAAGCCCACTTCCCCAAGGGGGCGCCCACCTGCACTTACCTCCTCCTCAAGGCTGCTGCTGCTGGGCTTGCTCTCCTTAGCCAGGTTGCTCATGATGGGTACGAGGGCAAAGTCAGAGGGACGCCCATTCCCTCTGCATGGGAGGAGACCCGGCTTCGTATCCAAAGCTTCCTTAGCAATAGGATGGGAGACCCCCAGGATAGGCCAGGAGGAGGGGGCAAGGGGATGGTGAAAGGGCAGCAGGGCAGGACTAAGGCAGGATTTCCCTCAGACTCTCCCTCTCCTTCTTTCCTTCCTTCCTAAGTACAGAGTGGTGGGAAAATATTTGAGATGAGGGAGGGAGAAAAACAGGCAAGAAACGCAGCTGGGGAGGTGTCACCCTTCGTCAGGAAGTGACCAGCACATGGTCCTCACCTACTTCACATATCTGGCTTGGTGGGCTCTGGGGAAGAGGATGCCATGAGCAGCATGAGAGTCAACATTACCTGCATGATGCTGCCCAGACCCCAGCCTCAGCAGGCAGTGGGGCGCTCTCCTTACAGCGCCAAGAGACTGAACCGAATCCAAAAAGAAGTGTGATGCTGCCCAGCCCCCAGTTTGCCTGGTTTTAGCAGGCAGCGGGGTGCTCTCCTCACAGTGCCGAGAGATTGAGCTGGGCGGTGCGAAGCTCGTCAGCTTTACACCTTGCTGCCTGCTGAAACTGGGCAGGCTGGGAGCTAGGCAGCATTGTACTTCTCATCAGATTCGTGCCACCTGGCTCAGCTCTTGGTGCTGTGAGGAGAGCGCCTCGCTGCCTGCCAAAACCGGGCAGGCTGGGAGCTGGGTGGCCTCGCGCTTCTTTTTAGATTTGCACCGCCCGGCTCAGCCTCTCAGCGCTGTGAGTAGAGTGGCCCGCTACCTGCCAAAACCCCTCCCCTGGAGCCCATCAAGCCGGATATGTGAAGTAGGCGAGGGCTATTTGCTGGCCACTTCTAGGCGATGGTGCATTTCTTCATTCCTCACAAAGGGTGGCACTTCCCCAGCATGCACCCAGGGCGCGGGGCCGATGCGGTAGGGACTGGTTCCTCGCTGTTTTCAGATGGTTTTGTGGAGCTAAGACCGAATGCGTTTCAGCATAGATGGCCACCACAAAATTGTACATTGGCTCCCGGCCGGCCTGGGCCAGGGTCAAGGCAGCGGGGACTGTTCCCTCACTGTTTCCAGGATGGCTTCGCGGGCCATATGAAACCACTTCGCGGGCCGCTTCTGGCCCGTGGGCCTTGTGTTTGACATGTCTGCCATAGATGGTGAAAGGATAGTCATGTACCATGTTTGCCTGAAAATAAGACCCAATTGGAAAATAAGCCCTAGCATGATTTTTCACGATGCTCATAATATAAGCCCTACCCCAACCTTGGCTCTTTTATAACTTGTGGACTGGCTGAGGAATTCTGGGAGTTGATGTCCACGAGTCATAAAAGAGCCAAGGTTGCCTACCCCTGCCCTACCCCCAAAGATAAACCCCAGTTAAGTTCATCAGCCAGATGGACGCATTTAGTACCATATTTCCCCAAATATAAGACCTAACTGGAAAATAAGCCCAAATGTGTCTTTTGAAGCAAAAATTAATATAAGACCTGGTCTTATTTTCCGGGAGCCCCAATAAAGAAAAAGTCTTCAGAAAAAGATGCTATGGGACATGGGACAATTCCCTTCAAAGTTTGCATAATAAGTAGCAACTATTAATTAAAATTGTGCCAGCTGCATTCATCAGTTGAACCTTCTGGGCCTTGCAGCAACCCCAACAAGCGGATGTAGGGGTGTGTGTGTGTGTGTGTGGATCAAGACTGTCAATCTCCTGAAAGGACTGCAGCGATAACTCAGTTTCCACTGATAAAAGTTATCTTGGCTGACCTTGGTTGTCACCACAGCCCGGCAGAGACAATGATGGATCTATTGATCCATGAATATGTTTCATATGCCATATGCATGACATAACTCATGTCAGCTGCTTTGGACCCATGACAGCAGGAGGAAGAAAATTAACAAGAAGACTGGCTTGTTCTTCCCAAAGTTTTTAAGTTGAATTGGGAGACAGTCACGCCAAACTCAGAGGTTCCCCCACTTTGTACCCTGCTGCAAGCCTCCCGTGCCCCTACAAATATTGCTCTTCAGAATTCAAGGAGCCTTTGTAATGTTGCTTAATTGTTCAGAGGAGCTACAGAAATTCTGCAGGGTACCTTGCATTTCCACTTTCGATTTAATTGCCCTTTATTTTTAAGTATTACCTAGAAAATGTGAAGAGAGTCAGTTTGGTGTAGCGGTTTAAGGCGTCAGGCTAGAAACCAGGAGACGGTGAGTTTTTATTCCTGCTTTAGGCACAAAGCCAGATGGTAACTTTGCCCCAGTCATTCTCTTTTAGCCCTGCAAAGAAGGCAAGGCAAAATATCCAAAATATTTGCCAAGACAATTGCAGAGACTTGCCCAGACAATTGCCAGAAATCAAGACTGACTCAAAGGCGTGCATGCACAAACACACACACACACACACACACAAAGAGGAAATGAAAAGAATGAGCTTTATTAACCATGATTATGTTTACTGGGGGTTTTGGCTGCCGTTTGCTGCCTTTACTCATACAGCTGTTCCTCAGCAGCCTAATTAATCTTCAATAATAGCGCTCTGCCAAGAAGTAAAACAATATGATGATCCACACAAAATCCTTTCCTTTTCCTATAAGGCATATCATTTATATTTGTTACCTAAGGCACCATCTGTTTGAGCAGAATGATTTCAGACTAAGCACCCACAGTTTATGTAGTTAGTTGCTTATTGTTTAAAATGAATTATTTGGCTTTGTAGTACCAAACCCATAGGTTGGCTGAAAGATCAATACATACTGAACTTATATATTGGGATTGCTTCATCCTTGGATGAATGATCCCCTCAACACCCTTTTAATCCATTTATTTAATCAATATCACTCCCCTTTTAGAAACCGACTTGATTTTAATAGAAAGCGAAAGATCAAGAACATAAAACAAAACAATTTATTTTTACTTGTGGAACCCTATTGCTTTCATGTACATCTTGAAATAACTGAAGTATAATTTTCTGATCCCTTCAAGCTACAACATACACGTTCATCTTAACTGTTGCTGTCCTTCCTCTCTGTCCTTTACTAAATTTAAACTTCCCCACCAGAGAATGGCTGATCACAATGGACAAGGGTTGCAATTCTGATTTAAAGTGTAATTGCAAGTTTTATGTTCAAATGTGTTGGTATTGAGGGCAATGGCATGGAAGGGAAGCTTTGTAGGCACTGTATACAAGGAAAAACGTCAGTGTGGTAGGATTTACAAGTATAATCTAGATTTATAAAATGAGTGTTAAACTATAATTACATAATGTAAAAGTAGCATAATTGAAGCTGCTAGGTATTGTATTCCTTAATGCTGCTTACTTATCTAGTCCAGTTTAAGAGTTGTTGACTTAACAGTTATGTAAGTTTATAATATCAAAAGGAAATGGAAAATGAATGGCTAGTAAAAAATACCTGATTGAATTACAGGTAATCCTTGACTTATGATTACAATTGGGACCAGGATCTTGGATGTTGTGCAATGCAGTCATTAAGTGAAACACACACAACTGTTTCTTTCAACAACTGTGATTCTGGGACTTCTGGTTCTGGTCTTTAAGCCATCTCATGAGTTAAGTGGATGAAGTTCCAGGGAAGGAATGTGGAGTGTCTCAGGTGGGGGGAGACCCCAGAGGTTCTACTCAGGAGCTGAAAACCCCCTACCAAAATCCAAGCAGCATTTTCAGCACCTGAATAAAGAGACACTTGTGTGTGGCTTAGGCTGAATCTCCCAGGGCTTCCCCCACACACCTGAGACATTCCACACCTATGCTGCCTCTCCACTTTCTGCTTGGATTTTGGCTCCCTCTTCTCTCTGGGGGTTGCCTAAAAGAGCTGCCTGCTAAAGGATTTCAGCTCCCTTCTATGCACAGAAGGGAACTCCTTTGGTGGGGTGCAGGAATGGAGCTAATTTTTTTAGAATTTCAACTCTGTTTTTGCACCCTGCTGCAGGAATTCAACTCCTTCACTGCATGGAAGGGAATTCCTTTGACAAGGTGCAAAAATGGAGCTGAAATTCTGAAGAATCTTTAGGATTTCAGCTCCATTTCTGCGCCCAATCAAATGAGTTCAGTTTCTCTCTGCAAGCAATCTTTCAGCCAGCCTCCAGAGATGAGAGGAACTCATCTTGGGGGGGGGGGCAGCAGCTGGCACCCTTTCCTGCCAGCTTTCCCATTGATTATTTGGGGAGGCCATCAGAGAAGATAGCAAATGCTGATCACATGATCATGGGGTGCTTGGCAACCAGTCATAAGTGCAAATAGGTTGCCAAGATTGTAATCATGTGATTGTGGGGGGTGGGGTGTCAAAATATTGGAATAAGCAGTAAAGTACCCTTTTTGAGACTGCTGTAATTCTGGACCTTCATTAAACAATAGTAGCATGTCTAAGATTACCTATATATACACACTGCAATAATTAGTCTCCTGAATAAAGGAAATAGCTTCTTGCTAACCATTGAACTTACTTAATAATAGCCCATTTATATGTATTTTTAAAACCTAAAGAGAAAAGTACTGATTTTACTTCTATACATCACTTGATACAGTATATTAAGAAAGATAATTATTTTTCTATAATTTTGCATATAAAAAAACCTTATAAACCTAGATTAATGCATAATCTGCTCATCAATATTTGTTTACAGTCCATGCTTCAGAGTTAGGCAGTGCAAAAATGAGTTAATCTGTAACCAGAGCATTTATAGAAGCTAAATCAAATAGAAAGAATACTTATGACTCATTGATTCTTGCTAATTCTTGGATTTTTAGAAGATTATTGTGTGCTTTTGTATATGGGCTAGCCAACCTTTTCCAGCCCATTTCTTTCCTGGTGGAACACTTAGTACTTCTGCTTACCATTTTTTGAAGCAACTAGAAAAGAATTTTTCTCACTGTGCAGCTGTCTGAATATTAAAATCCATGACTACATACACACAGTGAAGAGAAGCCCTGGGTTCAATAGTCATCACTCTATTATTAAATGGAGGTAGTCCTTTATATTCATGACTGTAATGGAATCTGGAATTTCTGTCATAAGTAATGATGGTCATAAGTTGAGGCATGAATGTGACCAGCCCATATATATTATGTTATTATTAATTATCAATATAGTTATGTAATGTTAAGTCACCAATAAGTATGGCTGTTTTTTGCTGGAAACTAGCCGAAAATACCAGAAACTGACAAAAGGTATCGTATATTGTGGTCACATGACCACAAAATGCTTCAACCAGCTGTAAAGGTGAGCAAGTTGACAAGCACATGTGGTCTGTGTAGTCTTCAGAATTCTGGAAATGAGTCATATATATAGCTTGGGGGGGGTGCATCGTAATTTTGAACGGTCACTAAGTGAACAGTCATAAGTTGAGGACTACCTGTACTATTAATGATTTACACCTGAAGCCTGTGATCAAAGGATACCATTCTTGTTTTCTTTTGGCAGAAGAGAAGGCACAAGGAATGTTTTTCTTTCATTCAATATTTTTTATTTCTTTTGCAAGAGGAAAAAAATAAATTTCACACACAGGACCAGAATATTCCAGGCCCCGCATGCAGTATTAGCTTCCATTTGCTGTGGTGAAAATATTATGACATTTTTTGGTTAGAAACAACATGTGAATGTGAAATTCTTTGCATAAGAGAGATAAAGGTCTCCTTTCATTTCATTTTCCAGTAATAAATCAATCGTGCAAGGATTTGGATTAGGCTAAGAAAAGAATTCCCTGTCATTCATTAAAGCTGGAAAATTGGGTTGAACTGAGACTTTGGGGTAGGGGATATGTCAAAGGATGTAGAATGGTGCCCTAGGGCTTTTGTCTTTCTTTCTGCCAACTCCGGCTCCATTGCCATGGAAATGGTGAGAGGGCAGTAAGGCCACTCTTTTTAGAAGGCTACAATGTGGGCTGAGGGACAATATGTCCCAGTGATTTGCCTCCCTCATGTCGTGTTTCATATGTGGAAGTTATGTGTGTGGATGCACAAGTACGCAAATTACAGATAGCCCTCAACTTACGACCACAGTTGAGCCCAAAATTTAAGTGAGATATTTTTTGAGTTTTGGCCCATTTTATGACCTTTCTTGCCACATTTGTTAAGTGAATCACTGCACCGTTGTTAAGTGAATCTCGCTTTCCCTTTGACTATACTTGTCAGAATGTCACAAAAGGTGGATCACATGATCCCAGGACACAGCAACCGTCATAAATATGAGTGGGTTGCCAAGCGTCTATATTTTGATCATGTAACCATGCGGATGCTGCAATGGTTGTAAGTGTGAAAAATGATCAAGAGTCACTTTTTTCAGTGCCGTCGTAACTTCCAACGGTCACTAAATGAACTATTGTAAATCGAGGACTACCTGTAGTTCCTTTAAAAGATTTTAATCTCCAGACTACTTTCAAAATAGATTATTTATGGGTTTACTGTGGGGATTTGTGAATTGAGACAATGGTGGGGGGAGGGGAAGAATTCTGAACTTTACAAAGAGGATTTTATTTAAATAAGGTTTATTCTCTGCACAGGTACATATAAACATTTAAAGCAAAAGGCATCCCTTCAGCCCAGATAACAAGAAAATAGCTGCTTTGGTAGTTAAAGAGAATTTTTCTATGTTTATAAAATTATTAGGTGCTTGATGTATCATCAAACTAATATAAGTCCTTTACAAGTATGCAAAAAATCAAGAATGTCTACATGTGGACTCGTGTTGTAACTAGTAATTATTTGAAGCTTTTACCTCATGTATTGATTTATTCAGAATGAAAAAAAAGAAACCTCCTGCATTAACACTGATATGTAAATCTGGGAAGGCAGTGCAGTCTGAAGTCCTGTACTGTATTCAAGTGTAAAAGGTGTGGGTTTTGCTGTGTTCCTGGGTCTGCATTTGTGTTGGCTTACGTCTTCCCTTCCCCCTCTGTTCTGCTTTACTAACCTCATTTCTCTCATGTGTATTTTACATTTTGCCATGTAGGTTTCTCACAGCTTTGCAGCCCTAGGCGGGCATTCTCTGAACAAGGTCCGCTCCGCCTGATCCGGAGCGCCTCTTTCTTTGCAGGTTTGCTATGTGCTGTGTGGATAGTCTAGTTGGTTTGACAGAACTGAGTGGATCTGTAGTTTGGCCTTGGAAATAAGACCCTTACTCACTTCCAAAAGTGAAACCACTATCTTTAATTCACGTCAAACTGAGGCAATCATTTGGGTTTGGAAATCCCTAACAACATAGGGATTATTCGTTACCTTCCGCAGGACTGAATTAATCCTAATGATAAAAACATGTTGTTTCACCATTTGCCTAAACCTGAACTAAGCTTCTCCTGTTTGGCTTTCCATTATCCAAGTTTTATTTCCATGGCTGATTTAGATTTTTCTTTTCGTGGATCTGCAAATCTATGATTTCTGAAATAATTATGGTCAAGAAACTTTTGATTTGGCAGATTGGAGTTCTAGCTTCTGCTTAGAATTTCACCTCTTGTTTAATAAGAATTGGCTGCAAATGCAGATAGTGTCATGCTTAGTTGAAGAAGCAAATAGAAATGCAAATCCAGATCTGATGCATCATAGAGCACCCATCATATAGTGCTTGTCATACTCTTCTTTTTATTTTAGCACTGCTTATAGCTTGGTACCAAGTGCTTTTGCTCCATGGCTAACCTTCCTTTTTTTGATAATATTTCATTTCTGTTGAAATGAAGAGGTCAACTGCAAATACTGCCTGAACCTTTGTAGATGCTACTGTGTATGACTAGATCTGCTTTGCAGCCTTCCTTGGTGATGGGTATGCCTTGCTGTTATTTTCAAAGTTCTAAATGAAGTCACCAATGAGCATGATTATTTGATAAATTAAATGGAGCATGAGATGGTGACAAGGTTTTATGAATTTGGTTTAATGGGTGGTCTTCTCTACACAGTTCACAGCAACCCTATGGACATGCCTGGCAGAGAGCTGAATGAAGACAGAGACAGCGGAATTGCAAGATCTGGTAATGTTGTTTATTAGTAATGTAAGGGCCAGGATTTTCTTTACTGTATATTTATTTTGTCATTGTATATCTTTTTGGTTGTATTACTAAGGCTTAATGTGTTTTTTTTCTGGTGCAATACTGAACCTAGCCAATTCTTCTTTCATTAATGGTAAGCAAACCATGGCTTAGCAAAATATTCCTTGCTAGTTCAATAGAAGCATAAAATGTATTAGGCATTCTTAAGATTAACTCGCCAAATAGTTTGCTGGATGCTGCAGCTTGAAAAGACTCAATCTTGTTTTAACAGAAATAAATATTCTATTAAAAACGATATCACTATGTGGTTAGATAATTTCAAGAAATATGTTTGACAGTGGAGGCAGATGCTAAAAAAACAGTTCTTCCAGTGCATCCTGTGCATATCAGTGTATAGACAGGATGCAAAAAAAAAAAAAAAGATAATATGGATGGGAGTCTATATCGGATATCTGAGTTACTTTATAGTCTCTTTTACAGAAGAAGAAACCTATAGAAGACGAAGAAAAATATAATTACTACAGAAAGGAGAAAGCCTTTTAAGCAATAATTGTTACATATGTTCAGATTTTGCTTCTCACATTCACAAAATAAAAATGAATGAAATGTTTTTTTAAATGCATTTTCTCTTTTTTGTTATTGTTGCAGCATCTCTTAGCAGCCTGCTTATCACTCCTTTTCCATCTCCGAGTTCTTCACTGAACAGAAGCTGTGCTAGCAGTTACCAACGGCGCTGGCGTCGCAGTCAGACAACAAGCTTGGAGAATGGAGTCTTCCCTAGATGGTGAGCAGACTGTGGAAATGCTATTTGAATTTCCACATTGATGTGTCTAGGTGTAATTGGCTGACTGCCTGGAATCCTAACATGTTTTAGGATAATGGTGCGAGCATAGAACATAGCTTGATGTTCATTTTATGTTGTGGGTTTCCCTTGTGCATTAGAGTTATGTACCTAATCATTTGAAACACAATTACCCCAGTCGCTTTGCTCCATATTATTTCCCAGTATCTAAATGACTCCTTTTAATTCAGTGGAGTTTACGTCTCCCACTCCCAACTTATTTTATTTCAAAAGTATGAAAGGAAATTAGAGCTTACTGTATCCCTGTTTTATGGGACATTCATGTTGTGATAGACTATAGGCCTATTGCAACATAAAGTTTCATGAAGATATGGGTTAAGGAGGGGCAAAGAGACAAAAAGCACAGGTAGGAAATGGAGGAGACTGGCAAAGGTACCTGTGAGAAAGCTGGCACCGCAAGATAGCTTCCAAATATTGTGAAATTATCATTCTACTATATTTATTACTGGGTCAGCTCCACCTCCATTACTGTGAGCAGTTCCAAGCACTAAAAGAAGGAATTGGAGAAAATGGAACTGTTTCTTAAAAGAATAACAAAGTCAATGGAAATTTAAGTCCCGTGAAGAAAAATGAAAAGAACTGGGAATGTTTAGCTTTGAGAAGATGAAAAAAATGTGATGGGATATTTCAAATTCCTGAAATGATGTAACAGAGAACGCAGCTTCTATTCGGAATGACACATTTAAAATGACAACATATTTCAGCTGAATGTTGTGGAAAATTTACCTGCAAGAGCTGTTTTCAGGATATGTTTAGAGGTTGGACTGTTGTGATTATTTGAATTGGATTTCTGTTCACAGCAGTTGCGACTGGTGACTTAAATAGTTCTCCACAATCCTACAATATTTAGAACTCTGGGCATTAATAGCAGATGCCCCAAACAACCTATCTAAATGTCAGCATGCTGGATTTTGATGATGAGACTAAGGTCTAGTATTAACTTCAGATTATTATCATTTTAAAAAAAAGTCAAGCGAGGTGGTTATTTTACTGTATCAAAGTTCTACTTGCAATATAGTTGGAAACATTTCAAATGATTTACAGTTCTACGTTTTTGGTTCTTATAAAGGTCGGTGGAAGAAAGCTTTAACTTGTCAGATGACAACTCCAGCCCAAACCCAGGAATTGTCAGGAAAAAGAAGATAGCAATTGGGGTGATATTCTCACTTTCAAAGGACGAAGAAGAAAATAGCAAATTTAATGAGTTCTTTTTCTCACACTTCCCTCTTTTTGAGAGCCATATGAATAAGCTGAAGAGCGCAATAGAACAGGTAAATACTATCATCACCTATACATACTTTTAATTTATTTGCTAATTAAACTGGAATACGGTGTTTCCAGTTTAATTTGCAAGGTTGAGACTCGTCAGAATTTATTTAGAGGCATTAGACCAGTGCATCTCAACCTTCACAACATTATAAAGTGTGGATTTAAACATACTGGCTGGACAATTCCGGGACTTCGAAGTCCACATATCTTTAAGTCGCCAAGTTTGAGAAAAACTGTGTTAGATCAAACTGGCAATGCACATGCAGACTCCATAATGCTAACATTGGGAACTGGTCTTATTTCAGGATAATGCATAAAGATCTTGAGATCACTCTTAAGTAGTCAAGAAGGAAAAGCTGTGCTGACCTGATTTTTGAGTTACATGGTTTAATAACTATGACTATGGCTGTCTGAGTTAAATTCCTCTGCTCAATTATCTTACCAAGGCTGTTTGGGTTCCCTTTGAAAGCTATTTACATCCAAAGAACAGGCATATTAATTATAGTCATTGCCATTGAAAAAGACAGGTGTCTTTGGGTACATACATTAGCATATTCTCCGCACCCTGCAACCCTTCCATGAACCTGTGTTGCATGTCCTCCTCTATATCTAGGGGCCAACCAGTGGCTGACTCAGGCCAAAGACAGATCTAGGTTTGCTGGTACTCAAATGGTGGGTACTATTTTTCTGGGACCCAAGTCACTCGATGCAGACAGTGTGGGGTGCATTGATGTGAGTGGAAGAGCTACCTTGCCACACCATATTCTGCCTCAGTGATCTGGTGTCTTTTGTGGACTCTTTCACTGTGATCCTGGACTGCCTCCCTTGCCTCTAGTCCCTGACCACTATGACCCCACTGCCCATTCTTGTTTGAGCTGTGTGGGGAGGCTTGTAATTTAGAGACACTCCCCCCCTCTTTTTTAAATGATAGGGCACATCAGCAGCAGCCCATTTGAAATAATCACAAAAAGCCTTTGAAGAGCAGTCAGTGTGCCAGTTGGCAATATCCTTGAGTGAGGCAGATGACATCAGTCTCGGTTCAGAAACCAATTGCAGTCTTGCTTTGGTATCCACTACAGATACACAGTCAGCATCACTGGGTACACTGACTATGAGTGCATAGCACCTGGTAGACAAAGGCTGCCAAATTTAGGGTGGGTTGGATTCCAGCTAGCTCTGACATGGAACAAGAGCATGGCTGTTGGAATTGGCCTTAGTGAGTTGAAGGAAGGGTCCTGCCATTCTCTTTCCTCTGCATAAATGAAAATTATACAAAATCCACAGCTGTGGGAACTGACTTCTGCTTTCAAAATAAGATTTCCTCTTCCTTGAACCCATGACCTCCTCTTATATCTTCTGCATAGAAATCCCTCAGGCTTTAGGGTGAATTCTAAGGCTGTAAAATAGACAATAGATAGATAGATGACTAGATCTATTAAGCTCCTGCACCCTATTTTAGTGGCAGAAAGTGCCCTGTGTTGCAGTCCTGTATGAATACAGTCCATTGTGCACATTCCTGCTTGCACAAAGCCACAGAGAGCTTAAATCAGATATGGAAATATCTATGTGATAGTGGGGAGCACATGATGGAACACCATGTGAATTCTGAATTGGGTCCTAGTCACTTGCTTCAAAGAGATAAAGAGGTGAGAACAATGGATCCGATTACTTCAGGATTATAACTCACATTAACTTGCATTCTGCCCTTTGTTCAGAGAACAAATCCTACCTCTCTTACAATGAATTATATTTACTATTGGGTGTAGGTAATTAGTTGAAGGATTTGCTTGAATGTGGAATTTGCTCTTGCAGTGTGGGAAAACGTAGGGCTTTTTATAGCCTCTTGCAAGCAAGGGTGTAGAAAAAAGGGACAGGGTAAATACTTGTTCTTCATATACTGTATCTCTATCTTGATATGAAACTTATCAAGGGACAATATTTATTGCATTAAAAAAAAGTCCATACATAGACATAACAAAAAAAAGAAACTCAGCCTCTGTTTGCCTGTTCAAGTCCACTTTAGATAAAACATATCATATGACGGAGTTTTGTCTGATATTAGTTTAAACATTTTTTTTCAAGGCTATGAAAACGAGCCGTCGGTCAGCTGATGCCAGCCAACGGAGTTTGGCATATAACAGGATTGTGGATGCCTTAAATGAATTCAGGTGAGTTTGTTTACCGTTTTTCAGTTCTAACAAGTGTTTAAATGTTTCTGGTAACATATGTATAATGCGGGAAATAAACTCTCAATTCACATTATTCTTTGATGAAGAGCAGTAATTAAACCATCATCAGTTTTTGTTTAGAACAGAGGTGGTTAACTTACATCTTTTGCATGTTCTGAATCCAGATGTTCTGGCTGAGAAGACTAGTGGGCTTCTGGTTGTCTATTTTTAGATCTAAAGGAAATTTTAATTTAGAGAACTTCAGGCTTTCAGTCCTCTTACTGTTCTAGGACAAATATCTATAATCAAGGTAGTCTATAGTCTGCCCTCCAAAGCGCCTGAAGGCAGGACAAGAAGCAATGGATGGAAACTAATCAAGGAGAGAAGCAACCTAGAACTAAAGAGAAACTTCCTAACAGTTAGAACAATTAACCAGTGGAACAACCTGCCTCCAGAAGCTGTGAATGCTCCAACACTGGAAGTTTTTAAGAAGAGATTGGACAGCCATTTGTCCGAAATGGTATAGGGTTTCCTGCCTGAGCAGGGGGTTGGACTTGATGACCTCCAAAGTCCCTTCCACCTTTATTATTATTATTATTATTGTTGTTGTTGTTGTTGTGAATCTGTAATGCATGAGAACCCTGGGAACAGAGGTTTCTGCAGAAGAGAAAGAGAGGGCAAATGATGAAAGCAGCATTGCACCCAGTCTCCCATCGCTTTTCTACAAGTGCAGAGACATGGCATGCACTTAGGAAATGGGTGTTTACAGTACAACATTGCTTTCATCATCATGACAAAAGGTGTAGATCCTGCAGACACCCCTATCCTAGAAGATTGCAGTGCAACAAGAAGCACCAAGAACTTTCCTAGAGAATGGGAGAAACACCTTCATGTGTATGAATGCCTTTTATGTGATGAGTTGCAGTGATTCAGTTTCAGTATCTAGTTGTCATGTGTAAGCAGATCTGCTGCCTTTTCTTAAAGATATTTAAATGAATCCAACTTTCCTAAGAAGGAATAATGCAAATAGAATGATTGCTTTTATAGCAGTTCATAAGCTATTTAGCACAGATAACTACCTCAGAAGTATATTTTGGGTGCAAAGCCTTTAACCTGTCATCTACTGTCTAGCTGCCTTTAATTTGCATAGTTTGCAAAGTTGGCTTTCATGGTTGAGAAAGGAATAATTACGGATTTAAAATGAATTCCTGTAATAAATTTGAGTCAGCCATTCTGGTGGGGGTGATGGTGTTTGTTTGAAAAGCATGAGATACAATGGATTTTGGATTCTTATTTTTATTTGATTTCTTATTTGATTCTTCCTTTTATTTGCTTCCTCTTAAAATCTGAACCTTGAAACATATGTCCTGTTTCAAAAAATCAGATGATCTGTGGTGTCTTCCTCTAAGGCTTGGAACAGACTTGGCGCTTTGAGGATGGTTTCCATCAGCTTCTAGGTAGTGAAAAGCAGAAGAGGGCCTGATGGGGGCCATTATTTAGGAATAGAGCAGAAAGTAAGTGCAGTCCCAGCTTCTGTTCTTGTCATATCCCGTTCAAAGGATTTTAGATTTTAGTTTGCTTGAGAGATTGGAGAGCTACTATTAGGGCTGAACAGACTTCGATGGGTCAACACAATCCAAGCGTAGATAGTTAGGTGTGCACAGCACAATGGCAAAGCATTTCACAAGGCCATCTCATATTTGCTACAGCCTTTATTCAGTGGAATTGCAACACAACAGAAAACACTTTATTTTAGTGCAGCCCTTGAATTCTTCCCTGGGCCAGTCCTTTTGAAGCCAGAATCGTCACTTGATGCCTTTGATCTGAGCCATGTTTGCAGGTATAGCCATGATTTTTAAAGGAGACTTTTCCCCTGGAAGGTGGACAACCCATTCTAAATCCATTATCACCTTGGAATGTAGAGCTAGGACTAGGGTTGTGTGGAAACAATCAATCTGTCCCTGGAGACTGTCAGTGTATTAATTTTTAGTGTCACAAAAGTCCTTCCACATAGGAAGGCTAAACAATGCCAATCTGGTTTATTGCTCCATCCCTGTGTTCCCATGTTCCCTTTGGCTTCTGAAGGCTTCTGCTAATTAACTTTCAGCCCAGCTAATGCTACAGAGGAAATTTTGAAGACCAGTTTTCTCTAGAGATGCAGGGCTGGCAGGATCCCACTGCCAAGAATTTCCCTTTTGTTCTGCCTGCTGACATCTGAGATACTTTTTTCTTTCTTCCTGAAGCCAAAGTACCATAGTGTCTTGACACTGTGTAGAAGTTACTGGAACGGTAGTTTTAGTGTGCTTGCCACATTCTGTTTTGGGGTTTTTCTTCTTCACTGTAAAAGTAGATGCAACAAGGAAACCGTTAGGATTTGGCAGAGAAACACGTGCTAATGGCTGAATGTTTCTGCTTCAGTGGGAACATTACTTCCCCTTGTACTGTCTTCCTAGCCTCCTCTTTATCCTCCAGTATGAAATTGTTGCTGATGACTACAAGGAAAGGATGGCGTCTTTAGAGAATTGTTGTTAGTAGCAGTGTTCGTGAAGTTAAAGGGGTCTGGCATTCTTCCTCCAAAAGGCTGCTTAACATGAATAAAACTGCAAGTATCTGTAAGCTGCAGCATATTGTATCCTAGAATGGACTTCAGGAGGTTTTGAAAGAGAGGATATATTTTCTTGTACCGCATTGTATTTTTTTAATGTTACTAGTTCTATCTACTGCCATGCAGACATATACAGGAAAAAGCAGCACTCCAGTAACATAGGGTTTCTCTGCAGTTCTAATTTGGCTTGGAATTGCTAACTCCTCCTTTGTTTATCTCTAGAAGAAGCAGTTCTCATTTGATCTTGGATTGGGCTTGCCTTGGATTGTGTTTTAGGAACTGATTTTTTTGCAATGGCTCACTCCCTTTATCTTCATGGAGAATGTTAAATAAAAAAGTGAAAGAGCAACCGAAGCGAAAACATTGCAAAAAGATAAAAATCAGTCCTCTTTATTGTGTATAATTGAGACATTTGTTGACTAAATCTTTAAACACATGACATGTTGATTATGTAATTGGGGGGGGGGGATAAGAAGGCTTGGTCGGTAATGTGCCCAGTTTCTGAAGTACAGTAAATATTCTACAGCAGCACAGCTGGGTGCATAGAAACCAAAATATTGTAGAGATGAAACTACCTCTGAGTTATTTTACTGTTTAACTAATCATGTTAATGTGTAGAAGAGCTACTGTTGCCGGAGAGTTTGATGATCTATTCTAGTGGGAATTTTGGAGTTCTGCAAACTGCACAGTTTATCAAGTATTTATATTAGCAGTAGAGCAGCTAATTCACTTTCCAGTCTTTTTTTTTTTTCTCTAAAGAGTCAGCATGCCCAAAGCATACAATGTTTTCTTTGTTTCTTAAAAAAAACAACCTATCAGGCTTGTATCAGGACTTAAACTAGTATTTTTCTGTTTTCACATGATGGGGAACTAACAGATATTTTCATCAAATGCAGAGAGGGGTGCTATGAAAAAGACCAAAGTGGTTGCCAATGGCTGTAGACCTGCAGGTTGCCCAACCCTTTATTAGCAAATGAAGCAGCAGATAATGGTGCCCATTCCTGTATCTGTATAGATGTTCTTATACAAGTGCAAGAATGGTTCAAGATAGTATTGCTGGTTGCTTCCATTTTTGCACTTTTCTTTAGACAAACACATATGCATAGAAGGCAGTTCATCTTTTGTGGGGACCTGAGAAGAATGTTCTTTGTGGAAAGTATAGGCTTTTCATAAATTCTGCCAGGGAGTGTCTTATAATCTTATTTCCACCTACCACAAGATACAGAATAGCTTGAAAAATGTAAAAATAAGAATGCCGAGAGTTCTAATATAAGGAATCCTGTTTTTACTGCTGTCATAACTTTGCATCGTTCTTACCTTTCTATTCGTCACTGAATACATACATACATACATACACACACATACACACACACACACACACACACACACACACACTCCCTGCAAATTTTTGTCTTGTTTATTTGAGTATGCTGGCAGAGGAGAAGGAGTTGTCAGCTGGTGTGAGTCTGCTTTGCTTTCAAAAGAAACTAGTTTTTAAAGGAAACCAGCCTTATATAAAGACAAGCTTTATTTTTAGCATATGAATGTTTCTGTTAGGTTTGAGGCAAATTGGTGGGTGGGTATGATTCATTGGAGTTGCTGACAAAAATCTGAAAAACGTTGGTTTGCACCAAAGTGTTTCAAGTACTAAAGAAACAGCAAAGGAGCTTTTGTCATCAAAACATAACAGGGAGGAAAGGAGTTTCAGAATTTAAATCAGTCACTGAGAGGGCCATAAAAGATCAGTTCATCCAGGCTTTAAGCAACCAGCACTCAAGAGGCTATGCAACAATTTTGCTGGCATGTGCATTCAGTGACTATTACATTTTTAAATAATAACCATATGGGGAGAGGAAAAAGGAAGAAACATTGCAAATGGGAAACATCTTGTGAGCTTTGAAAGCCAATGTGCACAATGTTTTAAAGCACACCCCACCACTATCTTGAGAATCTTTACATTAAAAAACAAAACCTCTTCTTTAATTAACAAAGTGCCTGTGCATTTTTCAATGCCAAACCCCCTCCAAGAAATACTTTCCTGTGCACACTTCAACATTATGAAATTAATTATTCCTTTCCAGAGTAAATGTACATCATTTCCCAGCTTTTGGGCTAAGATCAGAACAAGTGGGAGAAAAAAATAAGCAAATCAGATTATTAACAGCACTTTGGCTTTTCCAAGTTCAAAATGATTGGCCTTCATTAAATAGGCAGCTTTCACTCCTGTATCATCTGTGGGGAAGTCTGCGAAGTTGGTAGACCTTCATCACAGAAAACTTAAGGGGGTATTCTAAAAGGGATATAAGTAGTGTTCCTTCCTCCAAAACTTACCTTGCCTAAGTACCTAATTTAGGCCTGCTTTCCTCTTTTATAAAGTACTAGCTGTACCCAGCCA